GATCTGTGGGGACAGACCACTCAGCACTAGTGAGCGCTCCATGGGAAGCAGATAGAGCTGGTGGTCAGCACAACTGCGAAACCAAGTTTTCTGCTCCTCGTTCTAACCGTGGTTGAAGATTATTGGGCCATCTGCTTCCCAAATCGTTTGGCTTACACCAGATCGGAAACCTTCGGTGTCTCGGATAAGATGGAAAAGTTTTCCGGTATTACCAGAATGGCTAGCGAGTTCCATCTCTCTAGCAGATTCACACCACCAGATTTCACGGTCATTTTGTAGACACTTGCGCAATTCTCGATCTATGGATCGTCGTTCTTCCCTACAGCTAGGAGCGACCGGAACCGAGCGGCGGTTGTCCTTCAGCAACAAGGGAACAGCACTGATCCAACATTTCGGCGAGTGATGGATGACTCCATAAATATCAATGCTGGCAGAAACTAAGGCATTTTTGATTCGCATCCACTGTGAATACAGTTGATCATCAGAAGCTGCGGTAAGCAGTGTTGACAGGCAGGCCTGGTATTTGGCTGACGTGGTAAGGTCTTGTAGATTTTCTACGCTCGGTCGGCAGGGCTTACGCCTAGGCGGTCCTCTGAAACGCATTTATAACTTAGCTAGAATCAGTGCGTGATCGGAGTCCAGACAAGTTGACCAGTACAAACGGCATTCTGATACAATTCCGCACCCGCTGTAGCTTATCGTTATGTGGTCAAGCTAGGACAACTCTTGTGTTTGTGAAGGCGGGCGCCAGGTAGCAGTCTATCAATTCGAGTGTCGAAAACTGGTACTCGAAACAAACCAGCGATGATGAGAACTAGTCCGTAGTCTACTTCTATGGTCAGAGCGACTGCTACCGAAGCCAAAACTATCCATAAGATGGGGCGCGCTTGGTGGCAGGCTGCCCACTCGTGCATGTAAATCTCCGGCAAGAATGCCAATGTCATACTTTTAGCGGAAAGAAGATGGTCATATAGTTGTTCGCCAAAGCAATCCTTGACTGCATCCGGACTGCAGTTTGTAGAAGCGTAGACGGAGACGACAAATAAAGCACGTATAACATCTTGACGCCTACTTAACTAACACGAACCTCGTAGTCTGACTGCACATAGCCGACCGTTGACTGAGATCGAGTCAAGCGGAGCGGACTCAGCATGATCACTTCGAGCAACCCATGGCTAGAAGCAGTAGCTACTGGATCATCGGAAAAGCGCAAATGATATTTGCCGTCAGGGTTTATAGGAGAGACCATTCTGATGACGGTAGTTGGGGTTTGCCATCTAGTTTCTGAGAGGCAATACATGTCCACCAGGAGCGTCACAAGAGTGCGAATCAGTCATGCTGTCCGATCTGCATCGGAGTGCGAAAATTGAACGTTGCGAGGTTGAATGGAGAACCAGTTTGAAAAATAACTGCAGTTTCAGTGGAGTGTGAAAAGGCTGTGGTCACCGTGCATGGAACGACAAGTGTTTGACTCTGACTTCCGGCAGGTGCGACTGGTGAGCTGCTGTTGGCGCTGACTGGGGAGTCATAAGTGTAGTCGACTGGTGAGACGTGGGACGATCTCTCAGTGGAGACTCAGCAGTATGGAAAGTGGAGTTGGTCGACATAGCAAGAGTGAAATCAGTAGTATTGTCCGTTCAGGATTCATCAGTGGACATTATACTACCTGGTTACCTAGGCCGAATTCGAAGGTTGTCATATGAGTCCCTACCCTGAGCCTTTGAACAAGGCTCTTACCTACAAGGCAGCAGGGCGATATGAGGGCGCCTCCATCCGCTGGGAACCGGTGACCAAACAAGTAGTTTTATACGCTTTTAGGTCCTGCCAATTACCAGGAGCCCAAGCCACCCTGAAGTTACAATGCCAGTCAGGAGAAGGTAAGGGGCAATTACTTGATTTGATAGCCAGTCACATCCGCCACGTCACAGTGCTGTTAAGCGGACATGTGTGGCTTTTCATAGGGAGAACGCTTGCAAAGGGTAAAGCCCACGACGTCCCGGTACATTGCTGCCGAACCATTCACTAGAACGGAATAATCTGAAACACCTAACTGTCACCACGAAGAGGTTGTTTGACCAAACAACTATTTCTCTACAACTACCTCGAGCTATCAACAGGTTGGTGACATATGACCGGTGATGACAGAAGCCATAATGCTCTTATGCAAATAAGTTGCATTTTGCCAGGTAGTCCATTAGCTCCTCAGCGACGACCGCTTCCATCAACTTTGAGATCACAGGGAGGAGAGTCACTGGGCAATACTTTTCTATAGTCTGAACGACTGCGGCGTTTAAAAGATGGGTGAAAATGCCATGCTTCCGCATAATCGGGACTTGTAGTTCATCTAAATACCTTTGGAGAAACGGCGACACGAGCACGGCTAGCTCTGTAGAACTAACCTCCAGTGCGCTCGAGCGAATGTTGTCCGCTCCTGAGGAGCTTTGAACACGCAAAGAGGGCAATTTCTTCAATACAATTATTGGAGTAGAGATTACATACGTAAATTTGGGAGTTAGTAACGTGAATTACAGTGTATGCCAGGGACGGGCAGCAGGTTCGAAACGCGGGGCAGATGGCAGCCGCATGGTGTTGACCGCTTGTTGGCGATTTGTGCCATGACATCTGTTGTAAAATTATGTGGAAGTCATGCTCTGCTTTACGAAAAATGTTGAGTGTTTGGGAGAAGCTTTCTGGCTACGCACTATTGATGGGTAGCTTTGCCCTCACAGATAAGTGTGGCACGTTGGCTGCGGTGGGTCAGGAAGTTCTCCCAGGTTTCGGTGTCGGGGCCAGTCTAGTAGGCATGCCATGCTTCATCCCTTATTGTCATGCATTTTCGAGCCGTACTTGTGAGAATTACCGGCACTTTTGCGGAAATAAGTGGCTTGGTTGCCCATGCGCTAGTGATCATATAGGTTATGTAGATTATAGATTTTCAACGAACTAATTCCAGGCGCTCTCAAGGAGACAGCTATTCGAGCACTCCCAAATGAATGCCTCGACGAGTTCTTTCAAGACTTGGTAGGATGTGCTTGTATGAGTTAATTTCGTATGTTCATATGGATACTCTGCACGGCATAAAAGGTTAAATGCTATGACTACATGGTCGTTGAGACCTAATAGACTCTCCATCAACAACTCGTAGAGCATGAGCTCCTCAGTTGCTACCAGAACTATGTGAGCGATGTGATATGGTTGTACAGTGCAACATGAGCAATAAATTCATTCATGTGGGCTTGAACTGTTGTGTGGTGGATGTCAATGTCTCCAGTAAATAAGGCGTGTTTCTGTACTCAAGGTAAGGATCAAGCGGAAATCCATTTCTGGAATGCATGTTGGGGAGCGAAAAACGAAGACCAGGAGGCATGCGTTGTTGTGTCCTAATCGGAGATGGCACCAGCGAGTCGGTGATATGAGTCACTGCTTCATCCGTCATCACACTATACAGTCCATTATTGTAATACAGACGAACCGTAACTCCTCTGATGCGAAGGTCATACCGGATGAGTGATATTCCGGTTCTCTACATCTCAACAATAACTACCTCTTTGGTTCGATCAGATTTCAGTAACAGAAATGAAGTCCCAAGCATTTGCGACCTACCGTAGTGGAAGTTCGATGCGTTTGCTAATAAGGCCTTGTCCCTCAGTAAACATGCATGAAATTCCCTCGGATTTCAGCATAGCGCGTAGTTTGCAATTCAGACGCAAGGTTTCACCAACCACTAACGGGCCGACGCATAGTTGTTTTTGCCTTGGTATTTGGTGACTGGTTCAGCGTCAGATTCAGTAGCTTCAAAAGCAAACCCCAATGTAACCTATTTACAGGAGTGACACCTGGATCGGGATAAAACGGTGGCCATAGGTGTGATTGGGAAGACAGAGGGAGTTGGATTGCAGATAGTAGATAAATGGACTTATGCTAGTCCAGTGGAATGTACCGATAGCCAGCTGGTTGCTTTGGTATTTCTTCCGTATACAAGTGTATTGATTACAGAAAAACAAAGTCAAAGTCGCTTTCTTTATGAATTTATCTCTTTTCCAGGCTTCCACGTAAGCTTTTTTATTTCCCGCGACAATTAGCAAATTCTTCGTTTTTTTCTGCGTTTCGCGTAATCGCGAAAAATTGCGGTTTTTAGCTGTCACTTATAGTCCCTTATAGGCGACATCACATTTTCTCCAATGGACTCGTTCATGCGCCGACAACCAAATAGGGGATTGGGTCGGTGCACATGTCCGGAAGAAATCTACATCGTCCCTATTCATGGTTTCAGAGAGATGTGTGGACATTGTTGGTTTATTGAGTTGGCAACGTTTCGCTTTTGACACAAAAACTTGCTCAAGCCAGCTTTTGTGTTAAAAGCGAAAAGTTGCCAGCTAAATAAACCAACCGATTATCCGCACATCTCCCTGAAACCATGACTTCTTCATCGTCCCAGGACTTCATTATCTGATGGATAGGAATGGTCTTCTATTGACTGGTGTGGGTGTTGTGATCAAACTGTAGTGATCTGATTGGCAACCCGTTCGCCCCATGGCTCTTAGGTCAAAATTTGGGTGGACAATGAATAATGATTTATCCCAGGTAAAAAGCAAGAATGGTTGGAGGGAAAGCTAAAAATTCACTGGATAATTGTAGCAGCAGTTTCAGCATCTACCGATTTAAGTGCATTGCTACGTAGAAAAAAGTTTGCGTTGAATGTGCGCACAAAAACTAATATGAGGAGCAGTTATAGTTCACGTAATCTGTTAGGAAAAGTTATATAGATGACAAGGCTCATTCTTGTGCCGCTTTATTGAATCGAGGTGATATTAAATCCAGTATTCACAGTAGCTAGAGAATGGGACGCTTCTTCTACACTATTACAAGTGTTTGCGCAGCATCTTAGCTGATTTTAATCATCAAATGCCTCTATGCTCCCATTTGATTTTTGCTGGAAATCACTATTATTTCATTAGTCCTGACGGTGTGCACGCAACCGCGCTTTCTGCTGCTAACAGGTTAAGGACCGTTTTGGACGAGTGGCCTGCCCGATGCTCCGGCAATTCATCTGTCCTATATGCGGCGCTACTGGGGATACGGCGCACACTCTGCGCTACTGCCCGAAGAACAGCCAGTCGGGGAACAGACGCGACCAAGGAAAGAAATGTCGAAATGCTCCTGGTCCAAGCGTGCAATTGATCGAAGCTGGACTTCTCGATCATAAGCTGTTCTCTGCAAAGGAGCGATGCATCCTCCCCTTCTGAGTGCTGGCGGTACTCACGCCGTCGTACGTTCGAAGATCTGCGTCCTTGTTGTTGTATGTCAAAGAGCATCCCACATCACATCAGGATCAATGTTTCATAGTTTACCCATTTGAGTTTTATCCACCCAAAACAAACCCTTAGTGCAATTGTTTACTACCCAGCGGTTCATTATGGACCCTCGATTTACCGCAAATTGTTCCAATCCCATTGATCAGTTCGGACCGTTTTTACATTTTATATTAACATTAAATCCAATGCACCCAGATGGTGAATATTCCGCTGTTACAAGCACCTCTTCAGTATCGTAGAAAGGATAAAATTTAAATCAGTGATTACACAAGTAGGTTAATAAGCGGCAATTTGGCACCAATATGGTTACATTGCAACCTGGCTTCTTGGTCCCGGAACAACTGAGGCCTGGTCGAACAAAAAATACGCGACAACTATGGAATTACGGATGAAATAGTAAGCCACTGTGCGAGTATAAATTTAGCTGTACTTTTGTCTGGTTGAGAAAGTTGATACACAGTAAGGCAGCGTATCATGAAGAGAGGGATTTGCATCGATGCGTATGTTTGAAGCAAGCCTTTTACATGAACTGGTACCGGTAGACACAAGAACGTCAACAAGGTTCGGCTTTGGAATACCAGTACGTTGAGACAGTTGTACCAATAAACCAGCTAGGAAACTAGGAAATGTCGCAAGAGTATAATTGGTCTAGTGGCGTATGGCAAGCGGTGATAAATCGTAGTATTAAGTAGCGGTGGACAGAGGAGGATCACAAACGAGCAGCGAAAAAAGCAAATTACACCACTTTTGGGAAAATGCATTCTCCTTTAGTAACCAGGAGAGATAACGGCTCAGTGTAACACCTAGTTACAGCCCTGACAAGGTGGAGTACAAGCTTTCACCGTCTCTGAAAACTTTGATAACGACTGCCTTTGGAAATAGAACGTCGTTGCATTGAAACGCACTTAGCGATATAAAGTGAGCTATGGACCACAATGCAATGTTGTTTAGATAGGTTTGTAATGTGATTGCTGGATGCTGGATATAAGACCACCTCATCTACATGTTTCAGCGATATCGTTTCGTCAACAGCGGGTAATGAGACGACGTAGATAGAAAAGAAATATGGTGAAAGTGTTGCTCCTTGAAGAACCCCGGTGGCTGTGTCGAGTAGCAAAGAACTTTTACCCCCAATTCGAGTAAACTGGACACGTCCAGTGAAATAGTCCCTCAGCAGGTGGACGGTAGAAGGTTGAATTCCGGCACCATGTAAGTTTCACAATAGAAGATCCCGGTTTACGCTACCGAAAACATTACAGTAGTCGAGAAAACGTAATTGCACGACTTTGCTCTTATTGTCGAGTGACGTCAGCACTGAATGCACAAGATAGGCTGATGCGTTGACATCCAACGTTGACATCCAACGGCAATAAGCAAACTGGAGCGGGTCATCTGAATGCGTTTGAGCCAGCATCTTTTCATGAACAATCTTCTCGAAGACCTTCGGGTTTACTGAGGTGCAAGCAATTGACCGGGTTTTATCTGAGGCTTTCTTTGGCACTGGTGTACTCTTAGCATTACTCCAGCGGTCGGCAATTTTACATTCTTGTATGCACGACGCATACAGGTCAGGAAGTGGCTGAGTCAAGGAATTAGCACACATCTTGAGGACAAAGGGAGTTAATGTGTCCGGGCCACTTGCTTTGTTTGCGTTTAACTGCAACAGTTTATTGTGCACTTCATTGTTGTCCATAGCAGATAAAGTGGTTATGGGCCCGTTTAGTCGGGGAGAAGAAGAGTAGAAAGTGGATTTAAGTTTGAAGTAACGGAAGTTGTGGTTACTTTCTTCAAGTTCACATATAGATTCGGCACTCGGTAAGAGACTCCACTAAGTTGTTTCAGCATCTACGAGACCTTCAGACAGTGTTATATCCGAGTATGGTTTAGACAAATAGGTGGTATAGACGGTGCAAATCTATCTTGCTAGAAATAGAAATTTCATTGCAGCGTGGTCTTTCTTTTTGAACGCTTTCACTTTGAGTCTACGCAAACGCTTTAGGTGTGGAGATGGAAAGCGATCCGAACTGAGGGAAATGGTTTCCATTGGTGGTGGTAGGTAGATACATCAGTGTTAAAAATATATTAAGATCTGTAGGTGAGAGCATTTCTCGTGGTCGATATTTGTTCTGAGGTGAATATTGTCTTCTCTTAAGCTTGCAAACTTTACAACGAGTGACCGTCTTATGAGTTACCTTGTTGTGGACGACGGGAGATAATAATAGCAATAATAGTACTAATAATCATAATAAAACAGCATCTTTCTTTTGGTACCGAGATAAACCGAGCACACAAAGGGACGGAGCATATTTCCATGTGCATCATGCTCAGGCATGTGATGCTGTCAATTGTTTGGATTTGTACAAAGTTACAATAGGGCTGTTTTTGCGAATAATTTCATTGGGAACTTTTGTCGCCGTATGCTTCCAGTTCGCGGACATCATCTGTTGATTGTTTTCCGTTCAGCTTGATGATATCATGACGGCAGCGGTTTGATGACGGGGGGGGGGATGGAGTATGAAAAGGATGAATCTGTTACAGGCAGATGAGTAATACACAATCTTATTTAATAGACTGGAACAATACACTTGGAGCTATTTGCGAGTAGCGAGTTAAGGAGTTGCGATAAGAAGAAATATACGAAATTAAGGTAACTCCAGTGGATCCTCAAACTCAAGCTGGAGCTGAAGTAACTAGGAACCAGGAGCACAACAGATTCAATGCGGAATGAAGTAGGGAAAGAAAGAACGAGTGAAGTAATACGGTCATCCGTGAAACTGTCTCCCGTGGATATGGTTTCATGCGGAGTAGTCCCTCGAGACCTTTCACTCGCACCTCCACACCCCATCTGGTCATGTGTCGGTGTGGTTGGAAAGTACGTTGGCCACTACCGATTTTCTTCATTATTTGGGCAATTGTTTTTTTGGTTTGCTAGCTACTCAAGCCAGTCATCCCTTTCGTCAATCATCGTTGGTTTCTTACCTACATGATGACCGGGATCACCAGTTGGCCTCATATGCCATTATGTGTGTGTACAACTGTACATTTTTAATTTCTGCACACTTTGCATATTTGCCATTGGGTCTTTTGCCATGTGCATACATGTTGCTTAGCAACTTCAAACCATCACCACAGGAGATCGGCCCGCTCGTGACCAACAGAATAACAGAAGCACGAAATGAAATAGTTAGATTGGGGGGTAGAAATATCAACAAAATAGGTAGACAAATCGCATGTTTCAAGATATTGTGGGAGGCCATATGATTTGGTGTGGTAAAATATTGCGGTAGTTTAGAATAACAGATAGCGTTATTAATCAGTTGGCTTCTACTTTCAATACGCACTGGGTGATGCGATTTTATCGGATGCCATAGCCCAATATAATATTTGAAATATACGTGGGAGAGATGAAGCAAATTAGATACTTTTTTGTTTCTCCACCTGCAAGGGGAACTTCAAAGGTGTCCTATGCTAACACAAAGTTAGAGTATGCGGGAGTGAGATGAACGTGCATTGTAGGTCAGATATTGTTTAGATGTGAAGAAATTAACACATCTGTAAACACTTGAAGACCGAGTATTTTCATTATGTTCTGCACGATGAGAAAAGCTCCCAAGTTCCTTTTAAATTTGGTTAGGTTCTCGCTTTCCCGTACTTTCAATGGTAACTTGTTCCATAGGTGAGTATACCTTTCTAGGAAGAAGTTGAAGCGAATCCATAAGATCCCCCTTTTTCTGCCTCGTGAGTGACCCCTATTTCTTGTTGGATAGTTTCAGGAATTGTGTAAGGTAAGATCTATTCCGTCGTGTACACCTGGCAATGTATAATGTTGTAAAAAAAACTAAGTTATTCCTCAGGCGGCGCAGCCATAGAGCGTCTAGTTTAAGGCGGCGACAGTGGTCTTCATAGTTCAGAGCGGTAGACCGACAAAGGAGTTTCGTGAAAGAACGCCGAATGCTTTCTAAAACTATTCGATCCGTTCTACGCGTGTGGCTATGGAGAATTATACATTACTCTAGCATAAGTCTCACGATAAGGTTGACCATTTCCAGCTAATTTGAAATCGAGTGATCAGAACTACCAATCGGCGCCTGATTACACACAAAGAACAAACTTCGCACTATTAGCAGGTGTAAGACCTAAGGTTGTTTCAAGTCTGGTGAGAGAGTTAACAACATTTTGTAACGCACCAGGTGTGGGAAAACGGTATCAAATCTGTTGAATTCACCAGCAAAATGCAGAGAAGATATTTAATGTGGTCGATGCCAACTGCCTTGGACTTATCGTAACATTGCTCTGCATCAGTGGTGGGCAAGCTGGGAGAAATGTCGATATTTGCCAACACAATCGATTTGTGGCCAGTTAAACATCTTGGTTTACATTTCAATGTTAGGCAGTTAATACGTGGCGAAAAAAGTGTAGCATTAAGATTGTTGAGGTGCACCACGATATAATTGGTAACATCGCCGTGATTCCTGTGTGTACATGGCCGATCGACGCTATGGCAAATGAAGTCAAGTCAAGTCGTCAAGAAATTACTTTATGCGCCCTGCATGGGTAAATATTTAGCTATAGTGTACACGATCTCGACAATGTAAAAAATCAAATCATTGACAAAGCAATACGACAAAGAACGGGTAGATAAAGACAAAACCACAAGCAAGTTGAAAGTCAACTGGTTAAGTCAGGGGTGACAGATTTGGGGTCGCGCGAAAAACGCGAGAGGTAATGGATGACTGACAAGCGGTAAGCTTGTGTGCCCGCGTAGATTAGCTTGTACTTCTGCCCAGTAGATGAAGTTGATATACAGTTAGATAAGGCAGCAGGTAGGAAATGACTTGTAGCGATCATTATCTTAGAGGTCAGCATTTTACAAGAACTGATGTGTGTAGAAATAAGAGGTTTAGTAGAAGTAGATATCGGAACACCGCTACATCGGGCTTAGTGCTTTAATGTTCTGACAATTAGCCTTAAATGCTTACACAAAAGACAGGGAAAGATCACAGGGGAACACTAAGTCCAATGGGCATTGACAAAGCGAACGATCAACTCACGAGGAACACAGGAGGCTCTGAGCCGAGCGGCATAGAATGAGAACCTTCTGACTTTTGTGAAAATTTCATTGACTTGTAGTGTCCATGATAACTCGTAAATCAACGTCACAC